GTTAGAAAAAAACCTGAGCAAAAAAACCCCTCAATGTCATCAGAAGGTTCCAGAAGCTAAGGAAAAGTGCTCTTGGCTTTCTCTATATATACAATTCCTTCACAGTTTAGGAGGTTCAGAACCTAGGTGCCAAAAAAGAATTTACAGATAAATGGCTATGCTGATGTGTTCCAAAGTTTTCATCAAATTAATCAGAGCACTATTGCAAGCATAGTTCAACCCCCAAACTCCTCACAAATATACCTTTAGATAAAAAGAGACCCCTAAATCCTCCTATTTGTTCTCCAGAGTCTAAAACCCTAATAGCAGGAACAGTGTTTCATGCCACCAAGTAATCAATTACGCATCTATACTGTACCAGCTGTACTGTGCAAGGTTTTCGACATCTATTGTTTCTAATGCTCAGATGATCCTTCAAGAAAAGGAATATTATTCACAATTTACAAGGTAACTGAGATAGTAAAAAATAAAGGGGGTGAGGGGTTAAAACACTTGCCCAAGGGCATAGCTGGCCTGTAAATGGTGGAATCTGAATTCAAGTAAGTCTAAGTCCAAACTAAGGGCTTAGACTTAAGTCTATATACTTTTCCTTTCTCAGCTCTGCTCACTGTGAAAGACTAGGACCTAAGGCACAAATGGGCTTGAGAAAGGACACACAAATGCTTTATAAGGTTACAGTTTTTGGGGTGAGTAGGTGGTACGGTGGTTAAGGGTGCTGGACTCCCACATGGCTGACCATGGTTCAAGTTCTGGACCAGGTGGCTTGTTTTCTCACTTTTCCTCTATCTCACACTCTGTCCCTCTCTGGTCAAATTAAAATAAATAAATATATAAATAAAGTTAAACAAACAGTACAATCTTTAAAAAAAAAATTACTTCCAGTTTTAAAATTCCCAGTCTTTATATTCACAGGGAAGTTAAGATGTCTAGCTGGAATCTTTTCCACAGAACAGGTTTTAGTTGGGAGGGAGAGAGCAATAGGTGAAAGTACTGTTGCCCAAAGAAGACTCTGACAGGGTCAAAAGTATAGCTTAAGCCCCCTAAAAGTACCTATTGATAAGGGTTTCTATGGTTCACTGCTCTTTTGTGAGGAGAAACCTAAAACTATATGTTTAAAGTCATATCCAGTTACCTGGGGATTCCCAAGCACTAAATGCTGGAAACGTCTTTGAGCCTTGGACAAGCACACAAGCACCTAATGGAGAGCCCTGGTGTCCAGATAACTTGACCAGGCCACTCCACTATGAGGAGGATGGAAAAGACAGCCTACCTACAAGCAATTCTGTGACTTCTCAGCTTTCCCTCATCTCCTGCATAGTAATCATCTTCTCTCGAATTCACCAGTTTCCTCTTCCCTTTCACAGTGGACAGAAATGAGGCACCCATCCATGAATAGAGCACTCTCTTGTAACAATAAAAAGAGAAAGACAAAAAAGAAAGAAAAATCCCCTCCTACCATCCTACCATAAATGGAGACAAAGAAAATATCCTTTCAACTGCATCTTTCCTTGGACATCTGCCACTCCCTTCTCACAGAGACCAAGTTGCTGAGTCATTTTGCTATCTTGGGTATTAGAGGAAGGAAAGAGATTTCACCTGTAACGGCTTGAATATTGGCTTCTAGGATGAGGCCAAAGTCAAGACAAGGTTGGGACAAAAATCATTACTGGTGAAGGGGATTTTTTAAGCGGCCTATTAGTGCCATCTGCTGTACAGTTCTGGAAAGCGAACTTGGGAAATAACAGAGCCTGAAGGAATTCGTTAATTCATCTAAAGTCTGCTGAGCATGTCCCCTGGGATAAGCAGTGTGACAGGACTGAAGACTAGATGAAGCTGAAACTACAAAGCTGCAACTTTCTAGAGGGTCACAGCCTAGTGAGTGGAAGACATTTAAACAGAGAAGTTACAGTGTGTTTTGTGCATTAAGGGTATATATAAGAAAGAAAGGTAGTAAAGGTAGGCCAAAGGGGTATCCCATAAATAATCTGAAGGATGGCTAGGAGTTTACAAGGGAGAATAAAAGGCACTCTGAGCCAAGGGAGGAGTGTGGGCAAAGACCCTCAAACACAAGATGACATTCCATTGCTAAACAGCTTAATTATAGTCTATAGGCAATGAAGCCTTTGACTGGTTTTAGGAAGAGCTATAATTTTTTAGATTGACATTTTATAGAGACATTTTGGCAGCCAGCAATGCAGAGAAGAAATTAGAAGAAAAAATTGGAGGCAGACGGACCAATCGGTTATAAGTCAATTATTCGATAGTCCAGTTGGCAAACTGTATGGAGTTAAGATTAAGGCAAAGGCTATAATAAAGGATAGCCTCTTTATTATAGCCTCTGCCTTAGGCAGAGAATTTGAGAGCTATTGCAAAGTAAAATTGACAAGGTTGAGATTGTCCATAGTCCAAGGAAAAGAGAGAGGTGTTTAGTTTGTATGGCTGAGAGGGAAAGGCAGAATGTAAGCTAATGATTTTTGTTTGGGACAAGTTGAATTTAAAGTGCTATAGACTAGCTACAAGACAAATGGACAGATGAGCCTGAAGTTAAGTGATGACCTCATTCCATCTTTTCAGTTCCAAAAGTGGAAATTTTCTATTAGAGAGATATTGCTCCCATTGTAGGTACCTCTGCAGCCTACTTCCCTCCCTCCAATTTGGTAAGTCTACCCATCTAATCTGCCCTTGCACCTAGTATCCCAAACATTTTAATCTTTTTTTCATTCAGAAAAAGCATGACACAATGGTGGAAAGTATGGCTGGCTTTGTGGTGAAAAAGACCTAGCTAAATTTAAAAGCTGCAACTTGAGGTGCAGGGGGAGCCAGCAGGTGGTGTGGTGGTTAAGGTGCTGAACTCCCTTCCATATGGCCAAAGTGGTAAAACTCCCAGATCTGGTGGCTTGAAAAATCACACTGGGCATGTGTATGCATGTTCCCAAAATCCCAAGAGGAGAATGAAGAATGGACTGCTGTGTGGCCATTCCCCTTGGGTGTGATTTCTCATTTTTCCTCTCTGTCTCTCTGAGAATGCATGTGCCCCATGAGAAAGACATCTTACCAAAAAAAAAAAAAAAAGAAGAAACCACAAAGAGCTGTTACTAGGAGCAGGTGGAATGGATGAAAGTTAAGGTGTTGGATTCCCACATGGCCAACTGGTTCAGTCAGAACTCAGTGGTATGAGGATCACACCAGGTGCTGCATGAGTGTGCCCAGGATCCTGACAGGAGAATAGAGAAGAGAGAATTACAGTGTGGCCTTCCCTCTTGGGGAATGATTTCTTTCCTTCTCTCTGTCTCTCAAGCAATTCTATGTTTCCTCTGGCAAAAACCTGAAAAAATTTTAAGTAAAAAGAGCTGTTACTTAGGGCAAGATACTTAACTTTCTCATTTGTGATATGAAGGTAACACCTACTTTACATGGTTGTTGCAGAGTTTAAAATAAATTATGTATATATAGGGTCTGACTTACCCCATACAAGTCACTCCTACCTCTGTATCATAAAAGGTCATTGGAAAACTTATCAACTTTATGTTTTAATGTCATGCTCTTAATTTTGATTGATAGCTGAATAAAGAAATGTCTTGTCTGAGACCAGTAGTTGGCGTAATGGCTCTGTCGCTGGACTCCCATGTAGTGGAATGCGGTTCAAGTCCTGGACCTGGTGGCTTAAACTCATGCCGGGCGTGTGTGTGTGCATTCCCAAGATCCCGAGAGGAGAAAGGAGGAGAAGGGACTGTGGCGTGGCCATCCCTCCTGGGGGGTGATTTCTTGCTTTTTGTCTCTCTCTGTCTTTCTGGCGAGCACATGTGCCCTATAGCAAAAATCTCTCACAAAAAAAATATAATAATAATAATAATTAAAAAGTTATTTAAAAAATAGTCAAATTCTTAAAAAAAGAAATCCTGTCATATTTTCTGTTAAACTATTGGTGAACACTGTTCACCTAAGATAAACTCCTGTTAATATAGACAGTAGAAAAAATTCTCTTTTGAAGAATGGCTTTGTTTCCTTAATTATTAGTAAGAATCGCCTCTTTTTCCTTAACTGACAGATTTCAAACTACACTGGATACTCAGTAAGCTGCTAGTTTGTATATTTGCTTGTTCTTTTAAAAAGGATAATAGTTACCTTTTTTTTTTTTTAAGACGTTACTACTTGCCAAGAACTGTGCCAAGTGTGTTACCTTAATTATTTTACTTAATTGTCACAATATCCCTCTGAGGGATTACTGCCATTTTTCAGAAGAGATAAAAGGAAACGATGGCTTAGAGAGGTGTCTGGGTAGTGACTCAAAAGCAAATGAAGACCTGCCTGACTCCCACTATTATTACTCTTAACTTAGACTCTGTTGTAAAGGTGTTTTACTTTCGATCTTGCACTCAGTTTAAGCTGTCGCAACCGTTTCCTTCTTTCTTTTTTAAGGTGGGGTGACTTTCCTACTGTAGTTTGCCATGATATTATCTATTCAATAAACCAAGCAATTAGAAAATACAAATTCGTTTGGAAAGCAGGTGGGGTTTAACGAGTAAAAACGAAGCGAAATTGAGGCCTAGGAAGGGGAGGGTATTGTCCTTGGACCACTGGGCCCTAAACTGGGACGTCGCTTGGAAAGCAGGTGGGGTTTAGATGGATAAAAAACAAAGTGAAATTGTGAAATTGATGCCTAGAAAGGGGATGATATATTCCCTGGACCAATGGGCCTAAATCTGGACGTCGTTCACCTTTGGGATTCCAACGACCCACCCCATCAACACTTGCGTGCGGCAAGCAAGTCTCTCAGGGCCACTGAACCCTCCTTTCTCCGGGGTAAACAGGGAAACTGACGCCCTGCAAACAGCGTGGTGTAGCCTGGCCTGCTCACGCCTCACTGCCAGCTTGGAAGAAGGGCGCTTCTACCTTTGGCTCTGCAGCGTGGGGAGGTTAGTCAGCTGCAGATGCCGATGGTTGCGAGACGCAGTTATATCACCGAGAACTACATTCAAGTGGTCTCTAGGAATACTCACCCGAGGCAGGGGAAGGTAGGAGGCGGGCCTTGAATGGAGATGGGAAGTACACCGCCAATCATGAGAACTCGGTTACACTTCGGGCAACCAACAGAATTGGGCAGAAGGCTCCTCGACCCGCCCCAAAGGTGTCTATTACTCACTGAGAACGTCGCGATATTTTCCGTCCAGCAGAATGATTGGTTGAAGGACTGAAATTTGAGGCGTACGTCTATCGTTTCTTCGGGCTCTGATTGGCCTCCTAGAGAAGAAGGCGATAGACGTCAACAGGTTCCCTGGATGCCCATTGGTGGGCGGGTGCGGGACTACCGGCGCGCGGGCGTCAGCGCGGGCGTTCGAACTGGCGCTTGGCGGCGTTGTCATGGGGATGCGGCCTGGCTGCAGCCTGAGACTAGCCGGTTGACAGGACGCTCAGGTCGCCCGCCTTCGGGCCTTCTCCTGATGGCGTCGTCTTCCCTTGTCCTCAGATAAGGCTGACCCAGGAGAAGTTTAGAAGCCCTCGAGGTGAGAAAAGGCGGGGAGAACCCGGGCGGGCCAGGCCTGCTCCGGAGTGGTGGTGCCTTCCCCGTGGGAGTGTGCGCAAGACGCCCGCCGAGAGCTTGAAGAGACTGACGGTTGTGAGGAAACCAGGAGTTGGCCTTTCCCGGTTGGTCGGAACGTCCACCCACTCTCCTACCTTTCATCCTCATATCTCCGCCTTTTCCCAGCAGCTTTGTCGACCGCCGCCTCGTTCACGAAGTCCTTTTAGAGGCCCAAAGTCCTTTGAACCCATAACCCTGACTGGAACTCTCTTAGAGGCTTCTGTTGGGTCTTGGCTTATTTGTGTACTTCCGAGAGCTACATTATTTTCTCTTTTCCTGTAGTTCTGAAGTCTTTGAGGTAAGGCAAGCATTTCACAATGTTTTACACAATTTCTTCCCAGAGAGAAGGGAGACAGCGCGCGTGAGAGAGAGAGAGAGAGAGAGAGAGAGAAATCCCGCCTCCCTTCCCAAGGATGTTGACTCTGCAATTCACTCCGGGTCCTCAGCTAGCCCAATATCACAGGCACGCGGCGAGTGACAGGGTGTGCTCAGAGCAGTCACTTGAGGCGAACCTGGAACCTTCCAGGGTAAGTCAGCCTGTCAGGGTCGCGTTTTTACCTCTGCGCTACCGTCAGGTCCCAGGTTTTTTAGGAAATATTGACCGAGTATTTCAGCTCAGATTTACTGGATTCCCTTTCAATATCCTATATATTTCTCATTCAGATTATTTTTTATTTTTGAGGTAAGGAAGAGCACCTTCCTTAGGCAAAAGGACCTGAAAGTTTTAAGCCTTTACACTCTTTGTGAAAAGCTGAACTTTTATGTATTGGTGACTACAACTCTTATAACAATGTGGCTTTTAGTCTTCAATATTTTTGTTACCCTTTTGAGTCTTTGCTTAAAACAAACCATTATGTTGCCATATGTGTATGTGTGTATATGTATGTATACTTGTATGTATATACATGTATATATACATATGTGTGTATATCTATGCCTGTATAGATTTCAAGAAAGTTTAATCTCTTTTTAGTTTCTTAGTGACCAAGAGCTATTGTCACATTCTAACTGTACTTTAGAAGATGTTTTAAAGCAGTTTATCTTTTTTTTTTTTTTTGTATTCTATAAGCAGCTAGTCTTTGTGGTCTCTAGTTCAGGGCTCAGGTAGCCGCCTAACCATTCATCAGGTGTCCATGATAGAGTTGCATTACCAAGACTGGTGTTTTGTTGTTAACTCATGGCCTGTAGATTCACAGTCTGGATGTTTCTTATATCAAATTCATAGTTCAATGGCAACTTTAATTGAATGATTGAAAAAGTCAGATATAACAGCTGTGTTCTCATTATCATTTTATGAAAGTTGAAACACTACCTTGTAGCTAAACTGCAGATCTGTGACATGTAGTGGACACTGAACTGGGGATTCAGGGTTTGACTTTGACTCCATCTGTACCCCATTCACTGTGGATGCCTTTACAAGTCATTTGGCCTCTTCAGTCCTCATTTTTTCCATCTGGAAAATCAAAGGATCAAATTAGATTAGAATTACTATGACTCTGCTATCAATTTAGTCAAGTAATTGAATTGATATCAGGATGTCATGACACTCAGCCTTCCAAAGACCATACAGGTTTTCTAACAGCTGAAGTAGTAGTTGCCTATTATGGAACATTTTCCTTGTAAAGCAATCTATCAAGGGGATTTTTAGAAATAGTACATTGTGCTTATTGTTGCCTGTTAATGTGCTGCCCAGATACTATTTCATTAATAGCTTTTTAGGGCCAGCAGGTGGTGTAGTGGTTAAGGTGTGGGACTCCCACATGATCGGCTAAGGTTTGAATCCTGGACCCACCAGCTTAAAACTCAGATAGGGTGCCCAAAATCCTGAGAGGAGAATGGAGAAGAAGGGATTGTGGTGCGGCCATCTCCCCTGGTGGTGGGGGGGTGATTTCTCACTTTTTCTCTCTGGTGAGCACAAGCACCCTATAGCAAAAATCTCTCCAAAAAACAAAACCAAAACAACTAGGACCAGTAAATGGTGTAATGTTTATGTCGCTGGACTCCCAGGAATTTGCCTGAGAGTGGTTTGAGCCCCAGACCCAGTGGGTTAAAATCACGGCCATGTATGTGCATGCCTGCATGCCTGCTCTAGATCTTGAGAGGAGAATGGAGGAGAAGGGGTTGCTTCGTGGCCATCTCCCTTGCAGGGGTGATTTCTCACTTTCTGTCTCTCTCTGTCTTTCCAGCTAACACAGGCGCCCTATGGCAAAAAAATCTCTTTTTAAAAAACAAATGGGACCAGCAGTTGGCGTAATGGCTATGTCGCTGGACTCTCGTGTAGTCGACCGAGGTTCAAGTCCTGGACCCGGTGGCTTAAAGTCACTCCAGGCTCCTGTGTGCCCAAGATCCCAAGAGGAAAATGAAGGAGAAGGGATTGCGGCATGGCCATCCCCCATGAGGGGTGATTTCTCCCTTTTGTCTCACTCTGTCTTTCTGGTGAGTGCACGCACCCTATAGCAAAAACCTCTCCAAAAAAAAAGACAAACGAACAAACAAAAAACTGTTGATTTTAAGTTGTTAATGAGAACCTTTAGCTAATGATAGTACTGTGTGAAGTGATTTCAAAAAGTTCATAGAAAATGTGTATTATGAAAAAAACTTTTTTTTTGTACTAAAAGAAGTTCATACTTTAACTCTGTTTTTCTGTGAACTTTTTCTTGAAGGTCTTGTGTCCTTGGTGCAAACTTATCTCCCAGTTTAGAAGGAAAAGTAGTTTCTTTCTCTGGGCTGCTATTATGTTATTTGTAGAATAAGAGGTTGAACTCTTCTCAAAACCCTTTCAGATCTAGTATTCTATGATTGATCTATTAATTTATATTTTCCTATGCTGTCTTAATAAAATTTGCTCATAATTTGTGCAAAGTAGATCCTCAGCAAATTTTATTAAATAAGTAATAGAGTTCTTACTAATACTTGAAGTGCGTGGTTGTTTTATACTTCCCAAGTTACTGTCTTGAAGGTTTTGATGTTCATATCCCATTAAATAAGAGGATGTAACTATAAATTAATAATAGTAAGTACTCTATATTTTTGTTTGTTTTATTGCCAGCGTGTACATGCATTCACCAAAGAAAGAGATAGCATGTCCCCAGTGGGATATGGCCATGCCACAATCCTTTTTGCTCCACTTCTCTATCAAGATTTTAGACATACATACACATGCACCTGGTGCACATGCCTGGAGTGTTTTTCAAATCACCTGGGTCAGGATTTGAACTGCAATTTGCCATGTGTAATCTGGCTCCCTATGCATAGCATTAATCACTGCACTATGAGGCTGGTCCTGGTACCATGTACTGTTGAAAGTTTATGTTTCAGACCTTAATGATTTGGCATTAATTTACATTATTCAATTCATGTTCATGAAAGTAAATATCTTTTTTAAGTCATCATAATTGTTCAGTCTAGTAGATTTCTAAATGATCTCTCTCCTTCCACTTCATCCAACCCCTGCAACCCATTCTCTCCCACAGAACTGGGAGAATGATACTCAAAGACATGATCAGATCATATTCTTTCCCCACTTTTTTTTTTTTTTTTGTATTCTATAAGCAGCTAGTCTTTGTGGTCTCTAGTTCAGGGCTCAGGTAGCCGCCTAACCATTCATCAGGTGTCCATGATAGAGTTGCATTACCAAGACTGGTGTTTTGTTGTTAACTCATGGCCTGTAGATTCACAGTCTGGATGTTTCTTATATCAAATTCATAGTTCAATGGCAACTTTAATTGAATGATTGAAAAAGTCAGATATAACAGCTGTGTTCTCATTATCATTTTATGAAAGTTGAAACACTACCTTGTAGCTAAACTGCAGATCTGTGACATGTAGTGGACACTGAACTGGGGATTCAGGGTTTGACTTTGACTCCATCTGTACCCCATTCACTGTGGATGCCTTTACAAGTCATTTGGCCTCTTCAGTCCTCATTTTTTCCATCTGGAAAATCAAAGGATCAAATTAGATTAGAATTACTATGACTCTGCTATCAATTTAGTCAAGTAATTGAATTGATATCAGGATGTCATGACACTCAGCCTTCCAAAGACCATACAGGTTTTCTAACAGCTGAAGTAGTAGTTGCCTATTATGGAACATTTTCCTTGTAAAGCAATCTATCAAGGGGATTTTTAGAAATAGTACATTGTGCTTATTGTTGCCTGTTAATGTGCTGCCCAGATACTATTTCATTAATAGCTTTTTAGGGCCAGCAGGTGGTGTAGTGGTTAAGGTGTGGGACTCCCACATGATCGGCTAAGGTTTGAATCCTGGACCCACCAGCTTAAAACTCAGATAGGGTGCCCAAAATCCTGAGAGGAGAATGGAGAAGAAGGGATTGTGGTGCGGCCATCTCCCCTGGTGGTGGGGGGGTGATTTCTCACTTTTTCTCTCTGGTGAGCACAAGCACCCTATAGCAAAAATCTCTCCAAAAAACAAAACCAAAACAACTAGGACCAGTAAATGGTGTAATGTTTATGTCGCTGGACTCCCAGGAATTTGCCTGAGAGTGGTTTGAGCCCCAGACCCAGTGGGTTAAAATCACGGCCATGTATGT